AAACCCATTTAAATTGAAAAAAGGAGCCCAAGGCAGACACGATTCAGTCCGGCTAGCCATGACAGTTAGCTATAGATATGTTTACTTTGTAGCCCGACCCCCAAAAGTGAGTTAGGTTTCTTGCAGATGTTAACAGACCCTGGACCTGGAGGGAGATCTAGACTTTGGCTTCATTTAAGGCTTTAACATTGCAGCAGAGGGCTTGGCAGTAGGGGAAATATGTGGTTCAGGGACTGTGAGACAGACTAGAAAATGCATGGCAACCTACACTTCATTGTGACTATGATTAAGGCATCATTTCAAAACACAAGGGTTATTTCCTTTATAAAGTTAACTGACAGGCTTTCGGTGTCAAATTATTTGGGAACTCCAGCCCAAGATGGTGTTATGCTGTCTGGAAATATGGCCTTTTGTAATGCTTTGCTTTGGTTAACATAATGATAAGTGATTGTTGTACATATGATGTTTTGAAGGATAATCTCAGCTGACTAATACTTCAAGCAATGTGTTTCCCCACTCTTTCCATACCCGTAAAAGTTAATTTTCCATATATATGTCTGTAAGAAAATACTGTAAAGCAATGGGATGGCTGAATATGGCCACCTGAGGTAGTGACCACAGCACTCTGGTTATACTGCATTGAGAGAGGACAGAGCTTGGCAAGATACCAATAAATATGCTTGTCATTTAAACCTTTATATGATGTTTGTGGAATGTGATTTTATAATTGAAGATGCTTCCTGCACCTGTAGCCCCAGTATAGACGTTGTTAGTCTGTGAATATTCCAAAATTACTTGCCCTCTTTTTTCAATTGAAATTAAGATCTTTTTGCCTTTATCAAAATAATATATTTTCAGTCTTAATGTGCCTATGTCGGAAATCAACCACTGGTTTTTGACCTGACAGGCGAACGCTTTAACCACGAGCGTATCCCATCATTCCTTGATACTGTTACAGAATATACATTGGTACATTTATTATACATTCAAGATTGAACCCAGTTTTGTCACCATATATCCTTCAGTTTTTATGTTAGTGACATGATCTGCACACTGATAATTTAAAAAGTGGAATATAAATAATGATTGTTTGCGATCTTTATCCAATTTAGTTTTCCATCGATCTAGTAATTTTCAGTTTCTATTTCCTCGAAATTCTGTACGAAGGTACTTTAACAGTTTCATCCAATAACAGTAAAGCATACAGATAATACGTGTCGGTACTTTGATAGGATTAATAAATTTACACATTATATTCCATGATTTTGAGATGCCAAAATGATTAACATAATTATATAATGTATAACAAATTAGACAGCAATAAGCAAAGCAAGAAAGAAAACGCATGAGCAACATAATGCTGTCAGGTAGTAAGCTTTCAATAATTATCGAAACTGCTTAGTTATGAGCTAATTGCAATAAGAATCTATAGTCTACCCAAGAGATGGAAACAAAATGGGATCTATTATGAAAATTATGAGCTAATTGCAATCACTACAATTTTCTTCGTCTTCACCCAAGAGGTGGAAACAAAATATGTCTACAGTATATTCCGTCGGGTAACTTCGAAATTTGAGAAAACGTCCGTATGGAAATAATACCTGTATTCCGAATCAAAAAGAGGTCATACCAAATGTGCATGTTCACACATTTACAACAGTAATTTACACCGGGAATCATTAATACATTGTAATCATCTTTATGAAAGTATAGATAATGAAATTTGTTCAGTTATGATCAGTCGGATAACTCATACAAGTGAGCACTAAAATTATGGACTTACCGGTTCATGTCTCATGTGAACACATCTGTCTGTGTTTTATTTGTAATTAGCGGTATCTCCTTGTATAGCATATATAAGAAGTGTACCTGGAGGTCAGTTATTTAAACTGTTATGTAATTTCCATTACAAAAAGTATAAACGATATTACCTACTGGTCAGAAAGACTTATCAGTACCCCAACACCGACCAACCGCCACCACCCCACCCTAAGGGCCTACCCCATGCCACACTCTCTCCAATCGCACAATACTACACACTCCTAACATACATATCCGCTCTGGCCCATAGACCCGATATTTGAACCTGTTAAACAGACACCATGTGTGTATGTCAAGAAAGACACGCACGTTATTAGTGGTGCTCAGTCATGGGTATCACTTCACCATGTGTTTCTAATTATCTCAGTACATTATGGCGTGGTCGGACGCGCTAACGAACCCTATGTGACAGTTACATTACAGCACCATTGAAATACATGTTAAAGTAGTGCTAATCTTTGTAACACTATATTTACCCATTTCCAACCATTTACGCATGTACTAAAATATATGACAAACCTAACCCCGGTCATACGAGATTTCAAGGGGTATTGAAATTTACATATGTTACATGTGTTAGGGAAACACATGGAAACAATGGCCAGATTTTACACACCTGTGAAATACATGTAAATGCAGAGTTGAATGTTCGTTTATTTTAACACCCCTTTAAACGTGTGTAAATCTGACGGCCAGATGATACGTAGATTTCAAACGTTGTTCATATGGCCGCCGGATGAAACGAGTATTTCCTGACGTTAGTAAATTTGGGTAATACAGTCATTTTGTGTGGTGCCAACTGTGCTATATATCCATGTCCAAGAAAACAAATGAGTCCAAACTTTGTGTAACATGTACACGAATTCCAGTCTATTAATACAACAAGTGTTCACGACATTTGACCCTTCTCTGTACTTTAGGGAAGGTGACCTTACATAAATAAAAGCGACAAAACACTTCCACGTTCATAAGAAATCTTAAGAGTCGATTGTACAATTGTGACTCTATCATGGGCATATATATCTGTTTCAACAGTGTTGCAGCTGCACGATTTATAACAATGTTAATATGGATAAAACACATTTAACACTCGTTATTTCCTAAGTGCCACTTTTAGTCCTGCTGAATTCTGTTGTAAATAATGTCGTGTGATTATACTGTGGCTAAGCGCAACACGGGACTGATCGGTCAACCACGAGGGGCAGTTTCGTTTCTTGAGTCCGTCTTTAGCATAAACACACCGGAAGCACGTGCCGGCGAAATGAAAACAACGTTTTGACAACATTGCACTGGCCGGTCACTTGTGCACGGATGTGAGGGGGAACTCGTGACGAACTAATTAGTTGTTTGCTGCGACAGTTAAATGGGCGTGTAGACTGTTGTGGTCGTGGAGAAAACGACATGACGACTCGATTGAAATTCTGGAAACCAGGTAAATCACGCGAAATTGCATAGATCTATGTGTGGTTTAATTTACCCGCGCCACAGTGATTATAAGATAGCTGTGATCCTTTGATCGGTACGATGGTACCATGATCATGGTTTCATTCACTGGATTGTCTTTTCCAAAAATAAACAATCTGCAGGCCCAACAGCCTTATAAGAAAAATCTAGATTATATGTAAGCATCACTTAAAATTCTATCATGTTTATTAGAGCTGAAGGGGTCGTTGTCGGCATCGGGTACTACAGATGTACGCCAGGTACGTTTCTGTATACAGAAATGTACCGTAGCTAAAATCAGAATACAGAGACGTACCCTTGGACGATTCCATACCGCATTGTGGAGTATTCTTGATCGGAACTGTCATACTGCTGTATTAGATGCATTTGATAGCGTTATATAAGAACATACACAGTAACGAATATTTCACGGTGTACAACGTACACCACTCGCAATCAGTTGAACGGGAACAATTACATACGGTTTCCTGGTTTTGGGTTGCGGAATATGGACTCGTCTGTCGTTTAGGGTACCGGGTACGTTTCTGTAGTTTGTCTTGTTTAGGGTACATGTCTGTATACAGAAACGTACCTGGGTACATATCTGTAGTACCTGTGCCGACAACGACCCCTTCAGCGTAAGCATCGCTTAAAAATTTATCATGTTTATTAGCTGTCAACATGACCTGTTAATAAGTGTTATAAATAAACACTGGAGATTTATTCAAGGTTTTATGGTAAGTTGCTGTCATAGTTACACAAAACCATAAATTCTCCAGTGACTTTTACAAAGACAGTTTCTTTTTTCAAATTTAAGGAAGCCCTTTACAGCTGTTATATCTACCTATGTCCACATAAAGTATTGTCAAGAACATAAAAATGACTACATTAACCAGTTCTTTCTCTTAGTACAGGAAGTTAAACTGACCAGCCCTATCACAACACGAAATGACACCCCCATGAAACATCTGTGATCATATTCAGCATAAGTCATCATGTTAAGCCGAAGGGGTCGTTGTCGGTACGGGTACTACAGATATGTACCCCAGTTACGTTTCTGTATACAGAAACGTACCTTGGCCATAATGAGAATACAGAAACGTACCCTAGGACGATTCCATTCCCATTGTGTCATATTCTTGAACGGAACTGTCATACTGTTGTATTAGATACATTTGATTGCGTTATGTAAGTAATGAGAATACACAGTAACTGATATTTCGCGATGCACATGAATACCACTCGGAATCAGTTGAACGGGAACAACTACATACGGTTTCGCTTTTGGATTGCGGAATATGGACTCGTCCCCCTTTTAGGGTACCGGGTACGTTTCTGTATTTTGACTTTGTTTAGGGTACATATCTGTATACAGAAGAAAGGTACCTGGGGTACATATCTGTAGTACCTGTGCCGACAACGACCCCTTCGGAGCGTTAATAAAGATGATGTAAAAACCACGGTCAGGTAACAATTACTGGATGAATGTACATTCACAAAACACAAAAATCTTACACAAAATCAACCAATCACAGGTGTCCTAAGAAACTTCTTGTTAAAACAACTGATTCTGATTTGGTGTAGCAGAACCTGATGTTGGTGGTCTGTTGCAGGGACTGCTGGTCCAGGTCAGGGGTTACAGGAAGAGAGACAGTCAACCAAAGACGCTGAGGGCACAGCCTGTCAAGTATAATGCCAACCAATCAATGTCCATAGAACAGCAGAGACAGAAGTTGCCAGTGTTTCAGGTATGAAAACAGTGTGACACCATGCAGGTGGAAATAACTTTAAAATTGCTAGTGTACTCTGGTACAGTGGAACATAAAAATCACTTGCCCTGATAAGTTTTCCACTATACCGGCCGTTTTCTTGTTGATTTTTTAAATAAACATCATTATTACCATTGGAAAGTCAACTGGACACGGTTACAGCATGATATACAAATTTGCTTGCCCGACAGAAAAAAACACTTGACTCGGACGTCGGGCAATGGGTTATTTCCACCCCTGCCATGACAACAGTGTCATAACGCATGGCAGTGTTTGCAATTCAGAATTTGCTTGATTTAGTCGTCCTTGTAAATGTTATGGAGTTCCTTGTTATTGTCAGAATCCTCACAGATAAATGTAGGTTGTGGGGCACCCTCTATGTCTCCAGGACTCAGCAAACACACACTGACTCTGGACATGCCAATCTGAATACAAGTAACAAAGCTTCTTCAGTGATGGGTTGGCAATATCAAAAGCATGCTTGCCATCATTGATTATGATCGACTTTGTGCAAAATTGGAAAAACTTTCAAAGCCTACTGCACGACACCAAAACAAATGCCATCAACGACTTTGTGCAAAATTGGAAAACTTTAAAAGCCTACTGGCGCTGACACCAAAACAAATGCCATCAACGACATTGTGCAAAATTGGAAAACTTTAAAAGCCTGCTGCACGACACCAAAACAAATGCCATCAACGACTTTGTGCAAAACTGGAAAACTTTAAAAGCCTACTGCATCTACACCAAAACAAATGCCATCAACGACATTGTGCAAAATTGGAAAAACTTTAAAAGCCTACTGCACGACTCCAAAACAAATGCCATCAACGACTTTGTGCAAAACTGGAAAACTTTTAAAAAGCCTACTGCATGACACCAAAACAAAAAGCCATCAACGACTTTGTGCAAAATTGGAAAAACTTTAAAAGCCTACTGCATGACACCAAAACAAGAGCCTATGATCAACAAGCTTTTATGGGAAAGATGTTTTCATGGTTTTAAAACTGTCAGTGGCTAAATTTTTGGTTGGTTGGTTCTATAGTTTTAGGGGCTGACATGGGCCAATAAGAGGCCTATTTGTACCCAGGCTACATTTTGTGGTAGGTACTAAAAGTTACCTCCCCTTAACCCTTCCCTTATGTGAATCCCTTATTGACTGTTCTGTTAGATGTTATTGACATTCAAGAGCAGGTAATTTGTGATCACAAGAACCAAAGGTATGGATCCAAATAAATAGACCTATACTAACCTGTACGAACCCTGGGTCCAGTTTCACAATCACGAAAGTCATTAGTAATATATTACGTGCAGTTGATGGGCCATGGCATTGTGAAACAGGGCCTGTGGTTAGTGTAGGTGTTCCCTGGAGATATAGAGAATGTTAGAAGGGTCCCATCATTGAAGTAACACTTAAGCTTCAAACCTTATATAATTTCTAACACTGCATTATATAACCAATGATATTGTAGACCAATTTTTGCATAAATTCAACATATAAATTTCATGCATGTTAATTTAGATAGTCCAAACCCATCATGACGAGCAAGTTGTATCTGGGTTCGATTTGGTTTTCACAAAGTGATGCTTGTTATTGAGATACATCAAATGGGATAGAGTGCCATTTGTGCTAGCTTGATGCATGTCACAATGGCCCATTTGCCAAGATTGATGCTGATTATGTTAATCACTGCTGGATTGTCTGTGGCAGACTCAATATTTTGCATAGTTTGTTTATTATCTTATTTGTTTGTTTGTTTTGTTGTTTACAATATAATGAATATTGATGAGTTACGTGTACAGAGCAGTTCAACATGTTGCCCAGTTTTGTGTTGACTTTATCTCAGTGCCTCCGTGAACTGCGGACAATAAAGTTGCTTGTCATGATGTCCATTATCATGCTCCGGTTGTCAATACAAGCACTGACATGGAGGTGAGGTGAAATTGGGTTTTACGTCGCAAGCTTGAGAATATTTCACTCATATGACGACATGCATGCATGTGTATGTGTATGTGGAGGTTGCTTGTACTAGCCCAGACTTTAAGCTGGTTTTATAGTGCTAGCCCACTGAGATACTATGCCGCAGTGAAGCATGAATACCCCACTCAGACATTATACTTGACTCGAAAGTCGACTCAGTCCTTTGTTGTACCCATTAATGCCGAAGCCAGGCAGGGACCAACAAGTACCATATTTTAACGTGCCTTTGGTATGACGCTGTCGGGGATTGAACCCGCCGACCTTCCTCTCCTCGGCGGCACTGACATGGGAAGAAAAGGTGAGGAGCATGATATTGATGTAGAATTCATGTTACTGATAATTAAAAAACACTTTGATATTCATGGACAGTATTACATCTGTAATTGATCTTGGACCCTGCATCTTAAAATGTTAAGATGATCAGAAGACATATTTAACTTAGACCACTTTGTTGGACAGGGCCTCAAGTCAGATGTGTGGCTGCCCGAGAGCGGAAGGTCGCTGGTTCGATCCCCCAACCACGTTATACCAAAAGAGACATTAAAATATGGTACTTGTTGGTCCTTTTGCCTGGCGCTTAGGCATTAATGGTACAACAAGGACTGCCGGGAGTCAGTATAATGTGTCTGAGTAGTATTCATGCTTCACTACGGCATGGTATCTCAGTGGGCTAGCACTATAAAACCAGCTTAAGTCTGGGCTAGTACAAGCAGCTGCACATACACATATACACATCGCATGCACGTCGTCATCTGAGCCAAATATTCTCCAGCACGACGTTAAAACCCAATTTCACCTCACCTCACCTCACCTCACCCTCAAGTCAGATGTTCACAATGTATTCTTAGTAGTATGTTCTAGAACTGGAGAGTTTCTTTTGTCTTCAGCATAGAGAGTCATATCCTGTATCTGGTGGAGAGGTACCAGACGGTGGTGATTATTGGGGAGACAGGCAGTGGGAAGAGCACACAAATACCTCAGGTAGGTGCAGGGAACTGCCTGTGTGTGGTGGAGGATAGCATTCAATAAACACGCCATGTCAACTGATACCATACCCTTGCTGCATCGTGACTCCACACTGATCCGTTTTTTTTAAAAGTGACTTAAGTCTGTGAAAGTCTTCCTCAAACCCATTCTTATTATAAGAATAGTAACTCTGTCATTCATTGCAGTAACTCTGTCATTCATTGCAGTAATTGTGTCATTCATTGCAGTAATTGTGTCATTCATTGCAGTAACTCTGTCATTCATTGCAGTAATTGTGTCATTCATTGCAGTAATTGTGTCATTCATTGCAGTAACTAGGTCATTCATTGCAGTAACTAGGTCATTCATTGCAGTAATTGTGTCATTCATTGCAGTAATTGTGTCGTTGCAGTAACTAGGTCATTCATTGCAGTAACTCTGTCATTCATTGCAGTAACTAGGTCATTTATTGCCGTAACTCTGTCATTCATTGCAGTAATTGTGTCATTCATTGCAGTTACCCTGTCTTTTATTGCAGTAACTCTGTCATTTATTGCAGTAACTAGGTCATTTATAACAGTAACTAGGTCATTCATTGCAGTAATTGAGTCATTCATTGCAGTAATTGTGTCATTCATTGCAGTTAACCTGTCTTTTATTGCAGTAACTAGGTTATTTATTGCAGTAACTAGGTCATTCATTGCAGTAATTGTGTCATTCATTGCAGTAACTAGGTCATTCATTGCAGTAATTGTGTCATTCATTGCAGTTACCCCTGTCTTTTATTGCAGTAATTGTGTCATTCATTGCAGTAATTGTGTCATTTATTGCAGTAACTAGGTCATTCATTGCAGTAATTGTGTCATTCATTGCAGTAACTAGGTCATTTATTGCAGTAACTAGGTCATTCATTGCAGTAACTAGGTCATTCATTGCAGTAACTCTGTCATTCATTGCAGTAATTGTGTCATTCATTGCAGTTACCCTGTCTTTTATTGCAGTAATTGTGTCATTCATTGCAGTAATTGTGTCATTTATTGCAGTAACTAGGTCATTCATTGCAGTAATTGTGTCATTCATTGCAGTAACTAGGTCATTTATTGCAGTAACTAGGTCATTGATTGCAGTAACTAGGTCATTCATTGCAGTAATTGTGTCATTCATTGCAGTTACCCTGTCTTTTTATTGCAGTAACTAAGTCATTTATTGCAGTAACTAGGTCATTCATTGCAGTAATTGTGTCATTCATTGCAGTAATTGTGTCATTCATTGCAGTTACCCTGTCTTTTATTGCAGTAATTGTGTCATTCATTGCAGTAATTGTGTCATTCATTGCAGTAACTAGGTCATTCATTGCAGTAATTGTGTCATTTATTGCAGTAACTAGGTCATTCATTGCAGTAATTGTGTCATTCATTGCAGTAACGAGGTAATTTATTGCAGTAACTAGGTCATTCATTGCAGTAACTAGGTCATTCATTGCAGTAATTGTGTCCTTCATTGCAGTTACCCTGTCTTTATTGCAGTAACTAGGTCATTCATTGCAGTAATTGTGTCATTCATTGCAGTAATTGTGTCATTCATTGCAGTTACCCTGTCTTTTATTGCAGTAACTAGGTCATTTATTGCAGTAATTGTGTCATTCATTGCAGTAATTGTGTCATTTATTGCAGTAACTAGGTCATTCATTGCAGTAATTGTGTCATTGATTGCAGTAATTGTGTCATTGATTGCAGTAACTAGGTTATTGATTGCAGTAACTCTGTCATTCATTGCAGTAATTGTGTCATTCATTGCAGTTACCCCTGTCTTTATTGCAGTAACTAGGTCATTCATTGCAGTAATTGTGTCATTTATTGCAGTAACTAGGTCATTTATTGCAGTAACTAGGTCATTGATTGCAGTAACTAGGTCATTTATTGCAGTAATTGAGTCATTCATTGCAGTAATTGTGTCATTTATTGCAGTAACTAGGTCATTCATTGCAGTAATTGTGTCCTTCATTGCAGTAACTAGGTCATTTATTGCAGTAACTCTTTCATTCTTTCTTTTTTTTCAGTATTTGCTGGAGGCCGATGGGCTGCAGAGGGTCATGTGATCGCTGTGACACAAACCAAGACGAAGTTGCTGCTGTAACGGTAGGAACTTTGTGTTGATGTCAGGAGAAAACTAGAGCTATGAGTTTTTCATTTCCAGGAATTGTTCCATTCATGCCTTTTATATTAATTTTGTTAACAAAGCCTCATTTGAAAAGAAAAACAAGAAAATATGTAGAACAAATTCATTACGTGAGGCAGTGTATGAAATAAGGCTCCATCTGACCGCCTCGAGACGGGCTAGATTTCTGACGGACGGTCTAAATTTACAGCTAGCCTGCCCGATGTCTGGTAAAAATTTTAGGTGTTCCATACATCTGAGTAAAATTACCATATTTTGTCTGGTTAAATCCATTTTGGGCTGGTAACATTTTGAAGTTACCGCCCTGATGTCTGGCTGGACTTTTGGCTTATTTCATACGCTGAAGTGTATGTTCAGTGTCCAAAGTAAGGATTCCTCTGAAAGTGTTCTGGTTATGTGATGTCTGTCACCAGGTTGCTGACCGAATTCTTGGAGGAGAGAGGCACGCTGCTCGGGACGAAGTAGGGTACATGATCCGCTTTGATGATTGTTCCGATCCCAACAGCACACGGATATTGGTAGGATGAAACAGTTTTATGCTGATTATAAACAACTATTGTTTTAACATATTTTCTCATGAAAAACTCATGATGCATTGTTGCACCAATGTTCCTATTTGATACACATCCATGTTGCTTCCTAGCTGACCGTCTGCTCCCTGTCTGTTTCAGTTTCTCACAGATGGTATGCTGATAAGAGAAATAATGAAAGATCCTTTACTGAGAAAATACAGGTTTGTTTGATTTTTAACACTGCACTCGGCAATATTCCAGCAATATAGGGGCCGAAAATATAGGTGTATATTTATCTCCAAGTGGTGGCAAATAGAGCCATCCAATCTGAAAGTTTGAGGAAATTATGCTAAGATGAGTCACCATTTACAGCATTAAGCCATAGATTGAAGATCGGTGCAGGTACTTACCTAAGCACCTGCATAAGTCATTAGGTTTACAGCAACTGTTTGTAAAAGTCTGAAATTAGTTAATCCCAACTCCCAACTCATATTCACCATGTTACAATGACAACTTTATGTTTCTTGTACTTCCTTGATAAAAGGATCCAGTAAACAGACAAGGGCCCTAATACTCATGTTACTTCCTCAACTTATGCTGAGCATTACATGTGTCATCATTGCAAGGTCCATTTCTGCTGTCCCCGGGCCTGTGATTTTGCTGGAATACTGCTAAAAGCGGTGTAAAATTTGTTCACACACTCACTCACTCACTCACTGTTAGGTGAAAATATCTCAACATTCCGAAAAATTTTTAACAAGATTTACTTGCTAAGATCACTGCTTTAAAAATCTTTCGCTTATCTGAAACAGTAATAACAATGCCAAAGCATGACAACCATTAATACTGCTTGAAGTCAGTGAAACTTACAACAAATGTAGGACACTCTCACAGAAACAACCATTAATACTGCTTGAAGTCAGTGAAACTTACAACAAATGTAGGACACTATTACAGAAACAAAATCTGAAAGAAATTGTCTAAAACCTGAAACAAAGGGAATAATTTGATTAAAAATAGAAAAATAGTCTCTTGATTTGTTCTTGGCACAGAATACAAAGAGAATGCTAAACACAGGGCAAATGAGTAAAATTCATTTTTTCATGTTACTAAGAAAAATCTGATTGAGTTATTTGGGGAAGCGATAATTTCTTAAGCTTGTCCTCTGTTCCAGCATCGTGATGGTGGATGAAGCACACGAGAGAAGCATTAACACTGACATTCTCCTGGGGCTGCTACGTAAGGTGGGGAAGCACCTGTTTACTGGTACTATAATGTGATCAGGATTTACAGCTGACTGCAGTTGTTGCAAGAGTTGGTGAAGCAGAGTTATCTGCCTTAGACATGCCAGTAACCTAAGATCATGTGGTGGTCCTTGAACATGCCAGTAACCTTTGATCCTGGATTTAATCCTGGCTCATTGTTACTTATGCATACAGTTCACCCTGATAATGATTCTTCCTTTCTCAGACCCATGGGTTTCACCTTCATGTGGTCAACCAACATCTAGCTCACTCATTGACTCATGCTTACAAATATTGTGAAAGTGGACGCCACAGTGACGCATGTGTATAGATTATCAAGGAACCATTGACACTATTGACAACACACTTCAGTTTAAACGAGGTGCTGCTTTACCAAAAGTCGTGGAACTTCTAAGCCCTGTATCACGCCAAGTCTTTTGTTCCACATCATACATACATGCTGTATTATGACTGAAATACAGTTTAAAATGGACATTTCACAGACTAGTTCACTCACTCACTCACTTATGTCATGAACATTGTAGTTAGTTGATTTTTACTGTGATGTATTTCTTCTTTGATTGGCATTCTAGAAGTTGGGTAGATGAAGAATGAGGACTATTTTTATGGTATACAACTTCTATATTCTGTATAGGCAACGTTTAGATTCTAATCTATGACATAGATTCTAATGTCATTGTCAAGCAAATGGTTGACCACTGAAGTTGTATATCCATAAATATAGTCCTCATTCTTCATGATGTATCATTTGTCACCACTCGCCTCTTCCTCGTAAACTCCAAGAAGACTCGTCCCCCTCCTCGATGCTTGTTAATGTTATGTGCGAAAATACGACAAACCCATCAAAACGCTGTAAATGACCGCGAGTGCATTGATAAATATAATCCAAAGTACTTAAATCATTTATGGCATTATGTCATTGTTTAAAAATCATGAAAAATATATATTGCCATATTGAAAGTACAAAGAACATAGCTAACAGGATTTTGCTGCCTATTATGAAGTTTTAATAAGAATCATGCGATTGACGGTGAGAGATTCAAACACACGCATTACGACATAACGGCTCTCATGGGTCCAACTGAGTGTATTTCTGACGATCTTGGCGGGCTTGTCCCGGAATAACACGAAGTTGGTCACTTAATGGTGATGTATTTGTTCATCTGAGATTGATATTGTTTTCTCTTAGATTCAAAGGAAGCGGAATGACCTTAAAGTGATTGTTGCATCAGCCACGCTGAATGCAGAGGTAGGTATCTGTGGGTGTGTTGCCATTTACTGTGGTGGTCTTTATTACTGAAGATGTGCTGAGGTAGCCCAGTGGTAGAAGCACCTGCTCATCCTGCTCTACACTCCATTTATGAACACACAAAATGACCAGACCACCTCCGCGGGTGTAGTGGTTAGAGCGTCCGCCTGGAGAGCCGGAAGGTCGCTGGTTTGACCCCCGGCCGCCATACCAAAAAGACGTTAAAATATGGTATTTGTTGGTCCCTCGCCTGGCTTCAGCATTAATGGGTACAACAAGGACTTGTTGGCTCGAGTCAGTATAATGTGTCTGAGTGGGGTATTCATGCTTCACTGCGGCATGGTATCTCAGTGGACTAGCACTATAAAACCAGCTTAAGTCTGGGCTGGTAGTACAAGCAGCCACATACACTTAGATAAGCATGCACGCCGCTATATGAGCAAAATATTCTCAAGCACGACGTTAAAGCAAATTTCAACCCTCACCTCACCTCACCTCACAAAATGACTGGAGTATTGCAAAGCTCATCCTCGATAATCTCCAGGGTATATGTTACGATCACTCGCCACTATTCCCTGGATGCATCCACGGCTTGGCCCGATAATTTTATTACCTCCCTTTGCTGGCTCCGCGATTCTCACAGTAGCCAATCAGCTAAGCTGCCGCTACATCCGAGCTTGCCAGTGTCAACAAAAAGATAGCAGTCGCGAGTCGCTAAGGTTTGTTCTTCAAGCAGTACCACTCAGATTTTGGAGAAATAATACAGACAAATTGACAGATCTGAAACTTTCAAAAATATATAAAAGAACTCCTTCCACATCTTTCAGAGTACCCTCTGCATCAATTGTGTTGCCAAGTTTAAACGGTTAGATAATTTAAGAAGCTTAAAGTGATTTGTGATTGGTTCGCGACAACTTCCCAGCCGTGACACCTGATTGGATAAAAGCCAGCCAAGGGAGGTAATAAAATCATTTGGCCAAGCCGTGGATGCATCCGTGGTATAGTGGAGTGATCATAACGTATAGCTGGGAGATTATCAAGGATGTGAAAAGCTGTGCACTCTCACTCACTCACGCCTCCGGTATAGTGGTAAGAGCTTCCGCCCAGAGAGCAGAAGTTTGTGGGTCTCGATAACCGCAGTGTCATACTAAAAAGCGCTAAAATATGGAACTTGTTAGTCCCCGCTTGGCCGGCATTAATGGATACAACAAGGACTGGTCGGCACGGAGTCAGTATAATGTGTCTGAGTGGGGTATTCATGCTTCACTGCGCATGTAATCTCAATGGGCTAGCACTATAAAACCAGCTTCAGTCTGGGCTAGTACAAGCAGTTACACATACACTCACATGCACGCTTGTCATATGAGTTTAAATATTCTTAAACCCCATTTCACCTTCACCTCATCTCACCTAATTGCAAGTGGTCATGCATGCATGCACCCACCCATATAGTGCTTACTCTAATTTATTTCTTGCAGGAAATGAGAGATTTCTTCAACAGCAATGAGACAGAAGAGCCACTGTAAAGTAACCATGGTGATACTGAATGTGTTTGGTTGTGTTTTTTAGACTTCCCATTGTCTGCCAAAAACACTGTTACAAAGAAACTTGTACATCCAATGAGAACTGTGCCAACAGTCCAGATTAACAGAACTGTACTGTTTATGTGTAGTTATTTGATTACAAAATGGTGATTTTTAAGTGAGTTTGTGTTAACTGCAGAATTAACCACTTCCAAATGGACTAGCTTACCTCGTCATGATATCTGACAAGAAGTGAGCTTTAACAGAATACACTGACTTTACTTAATTGTGTTTGTCATGTATTTGCTCTGTTTCAGAAATGACACAGCTACCATACTGACTGTGGAAGGTCGAGAGTTCCCCTGTAGATGTCCACTACCCAAGCTTGAGTAAGTGCTTGTCTCGGGGTGGGTCCAGGGAGGGGTCAATCTCAGTTGCCCATGCATATGCTTGTTCCCTGTGGGGTTTCCAGGCAGAATCTCAGTTGCCCATGCATATGCTTGTTCCCAGTGATTTTCCAGGCAGAATCTTCAGTCACACATGCATATGCTTGTTCCCAGTGGGGTTTCCAGGCAGAATCTCAGTCACCCATGCATATGCTTGTTCCCAGTGGGGTTCCAGGCAGAATCTCAGCTGCCCATGCATTAGCTTGTTCCTGTGGGGTTTCCAGGCAGAATCTCAGCTGCCCATGCATATGCTTGTTCCCAGTGGGGTTTCCAGGCAGAATCCTCAGTTGCCCATGCATTAGCTTGTTCCTGTGGGGTTTCCAGGCAGAATCTCAGTCGCCCATGCATATGCTTGTTCCCAGTGGGGTTTCCAGGCAGAATCTCAGCTGCCCATGCATATGCTTGTTCCCAGTGGGGTTTCCAGGCAGAATCCCAGTTGCCCATGCATATGCTTGTTCCCAGTGGGGTTTCCAGGCAGAATCTCAGCTGCCCATGCATTAACTTGTTCCCCTGTGGGGTTTCCAGGCAGAATCTCAGCCGCCCATGCATATGCTTGTTCCCCCTGGGGTTTCCAGGCAGAATCTCAGCTGCCCATGCATATGCTTGTTCCCAGTGGGGTTTCCAGGCAGAATCCTCAGTCGCCCATGCATTAGCTTGTTCCCAGTGGGGTTTCCAGGCAGAATCTCAGCTGCCCATGCATATGCTTGTTCCCAGTGGGGTTTCCAGGCAGAATCTCAGCCGCCCATGCATATGCTTGTTCCCCTGTGGGGTTTCCAGGCAGAATCTCAGCTGCCCATGCATATGCTTGTTCCCAGTGGGGTTTCCAGGCAGAATCCCAGTTGCCCATGCATATGCTTGTTCCCAGTGGGGTTTCCAGGCTGAATCCTCAGTCGCCCATGCATTAGCTTGTTCCCTGTGGGGTTTCCAGGCAGAATCTCAGCTGCCCATGCATATGCTTGTTCCCTGTGGGTTTCCAGGCAGAATCTCAGTTGCCCATGCATTAGCTTGTTCCCAGTGGGGTTTCCAGGCAGAATCTCAGTTGCCCATGCATATGCTTCCAGGTGGAAATAACTTTAAAATTGCTAGTGTACTCGCGTACAGTGGCACATGTAAAATCACTTGCCCTGATAATTTTCCCACTATACCGGCCGCTTTCTTGTTGATTTTCAAATAAACCACATAATAAATATTGGAAAGTCAACTGGACACCGTTACAGTGTGATATACAAATTTGCTTGCCCGACATAAAACCACTGGACTCGGACGCCGGGCAATGGGTTATTTCCTCCCCCCCTGATGCTTGTTCCCAGTGGGTTTTCCAGGCAGAATCTCAGCTCGACTCATGCGCTTTGTTCTTGGTGAGGTTTCCAGGACAAGACCTGTGTAAGCCATACTTGTTTGTGGTTGGGTTTCCAGCCGGGCCACAGGTCTTCAGTAGCCTGTGCTTATCTTCCTGTTCAGTTTCTGTAGAATCATATGACCTCACTATTCCATGCTTTTCTCTGTTTGGTGTTTCCAGGGTGAATTGGGCCCCAGAATGCCACTGTGCACACTTTTGTCATTCATCAGTAATGTCAGTATCTGCTCTACCCCAGCCCCTCAGTTGAGTGATAGGAGTAGCTGACCCAGCGTGTATGATAAAGAAATGTGTGAAATGCGTTTCAGTCCCCACCCTGACTATCTGAAGGCCACTGTGGAGACTGTGATGAAGATTCACTTCAATCAACCTGCAGGAGATGTCTTAGCTTTCCTCACAGGCCAGGTGAGTCAGTGTTACCTGTATATTGTTTTCTGGTGAGTTGCTGTTACTTGTGTATTGTCATCAGTGGTTTTACCAGTATGTCATTATCAGACAATTCTGTGGTTTAACAGTATGTCATTATCAGACAATTCTGTGGTTTCACAGTATGTCATTATCAGACAATTCTGTGGTTTCACAGTATGTCATTATCAGACAATTCTGTGGTTTTACATGTATATATTTGCCTGTAGTTTGTAAAAAATACATCAGGGACTAAGGTAGACCCGAATATGAAAGGGAGATATTTAGTGTTTTATTTTCTTTCTTTCCAGGAAGAAGTTACAGAGAGTGGTGTCAATGTTGATGTGAGTTTTCCTGTTAGTACACTGTATGTATAGCGATCAAGTCAGCAATACTGGTTTCTATAGTAACACTGTAACATTATTTTGAGCAAACTGTGACTTCCCTGTTCGATGCCAGTGTCGGAGGTGTACGAAAATACAATGTCCAGTCAAGTGACAACGAACCAATTCTCTTTTTCATGTCATGTCGCTCTTTAAAGAACCCAACAAATATATTCCTAGGGTAAGGGACATTGGGGATGGGAAATTACTTCCAGCCTACTAGATGTGGCAGTGGATTGTTTTAACAGACCAGAACAGAGGCATTTCACTGGTTGGCTATTTTAGCATCATGTAGATGGGACATTTGTAAAAGCTATGGTGGTGAATTTGTCCATGGTATATGAGAGAGAATGGAGATACAGTACATTGGGTATTTGATGAAGGGACAATAGGTGGATCCAGAGGGGGTTGCAGGGGTGTGCACCCCACTTTTTGTGCTGAAAGTTTGTTAAATGACCATTGAAACTCAGGTAAAATGAAGTGTGCACCCTCCTTTTCTCAATAGTGTGCACCCCCTTTCTCAAAGCTGTATCCGCTCTGGGGACGTGGGGGGTAACCTCCTTATGGTTAAAGCGTTAAGCTCGTCCACTGAAGACCGGGTTCGATTCCCACATGGGTACAATGTGGGAAGCCCATTTCTGGTGTTCCCTACGTTGATGTTGCTGGAATATTGCTAAAAGCGACTAGTATTTGTCTGTTGTTTTATCATTGATAGGTGGGCATGAAGTCTGCTTCATTAACTAACTCATTGGTGGATTTGTATAGCAACAGGATTCTGTTACAGCGATGCGAAGCAAAGAAGTTGAAGAAAGATGACCTGAAGATGAAAGTACTGCCCATGCATGGAAGTCTGCCAGCATCAGAACAGGTGAGCAGACGTCAAGATCCTGATTTTCATGTACAGTATCATTTCCTGTTACACATACAGTAATATGTGGTGAATTTTTAACAGCAAGGGACTGTTGTAATGTCTTTGTTATATCCCCAGGCTTGATATACCTTGTAAAACCATTTGGGATATGCCCACTGCACAGGGTGTATTAATTAAATTAAGTTGAATGTGAATGGGAGATAGTGAGTGAGTGAGT